GGTCATCTAATCAATTATCTGGTTTTATGGAGAGAGAAATTGATGCTCAGAGATGGAACAGACTTGCCTAAGGTCATACAGCTAACTAGTAAGAGGGCTGAATTTCAAACCTAGCACTACTAATTCTTAGTCCAGTGTACTTTTCATTATAACGAAGTGCATACCTTCTACGTGTGTGCGTGTGTGCATGTGTGTGTGTGTGTGTGTGTGTGTTGGGGAGGGTGGGAGAGAAATAAAGAAAAAGAGACTATAATTGTAAAAAGATACCATTTTACTATTTATTAGCCTGGCCAAATATTGTAAGTGTAGGTTAAACATTTCCCTATCTTTCTTGTCTGATTCCCTAGAGAAGGCACCTGTAAAATACACCTGTTATATTTTTTTTTAGATTGCATCACACCCACTGGAGAAACTTTTGCAACCCTACCCACAATCTGTTATTACAGCCCTACGAAAGAAACACATAATCTAGTTATCTGGCCCAAAGCCTGTTCATTCACAACTAAAAAAATAAATAAATAAACTAGAATAGAAACAGACACATTATATAAGTGGCTTGAAATATAAATCTAGGTAGCTAATGAACCAATGTTATCATCTATGTTTAATGTATATAGTTTAAATAAATTATATTTTAATAATTTAGCTCCAAGAAGCTATGTGCCATAGTACTACATAAATTATAAAGTCTACTAAAGTCCCATTATAATGTCTTCAGGTTTCAAGCTGGAAGACACCACTAGAGACTGGTCACAAGGAAAACCTCTTTTTCACTCTGTGCTTCTAAGGTAAGAAATGCTGGTGGCCACTGTCTTTGAGAGAAATGCCTATTAAGGAATCTTAACAGCATGTTGAGAGCAGGTTATGATATGGCAACACATACAAATATTTTAATATTATTGTGCTTTATCATGGTAAAGATTTTGTCAAAATTTAGGAGGAAAAGAGAGAGGGCTTCATATTTATTGACTACCTACCATCCCAAACACTTTGCTCTGCATTTTTCATATATTACCTAATGTAATCCTCACAACTCCAGAAAATGTTATTGCCTAGTTTTTTTTCTTTTTCAGATTATAAAACTAAGATTCAAAGAAACTAGATGGTTTACCTGAGGTCATACAGTTTATGACTTGGGACTTGAACCCAAGAGTATCTCATTCTAAAACCACTGGACTTATTTTAGAACATGCTGCTATCACTCAAAAAATTTAGAGTAAAAGTTGCTCTTTAGCTTCCCAGAAATTTCCTTAGCAAGCCAAATCACTCACTCACTACTTGTCCACTGTGTGTCTACAACGGGGTTGGGCTCCATTCACCCATCCATCCAATCATCTATCATCAAATAGACGAGAGGCGCCTGCTATGTCCCAGGCGCTGCAGGCACTACAGATACATTAGTGAGTGAGAAAGAGGTCCTCAGTCCTTTGGCAAAGAGGCAAGTGTCAGTAATTAAAGAGTCATACAAATAAGTGTAAATTAAAACTGAGTTAAGGATTATGATAGAGTAAGAGTTAGTAGTTCTGGGACTGAAATTTGATATGGTACTACTGTAGTGTCTAACAGGGGTGTCTGACTCAAGCTGGAAGGCTTCTCTGGGAAATGAAGGCTGCATGGAGATCTGGAGAGTAAGTAAAATTACTTAGGTGAAGAAGATGGTTATAGATTGAGGGAGCACAAAGATCCTGTAGTGAGAGAAACGCTACAAGTCTGAAGATATGGAAGGGCGGTGTGGATGCAGCAGAGAGAGCAAAGGGGAGCACACAGTAAATCAGGCAAGAGAGAGGAGCAGCCAGGCTGCACTGAGGCTTGTAGGCCATGTGAAGGATTTTGATTTTTATCCTAAGAGCCTGGTCTGGTAGTTCAGTTGGTTAGAGCATCGTCCCAATACACCAAGGTTGTGGGTTGGTGAGGGCACATACTAGAATTAACTAATGAATGCATCAATAAGTGGAACAATAAATCGATATTTCTCTATCTCTCTCATCAATAAAAAAAAAAAAAAAGAGCGAGCGAGCAGTGGGAGGCCACAAATGGTTTTAAGAAGGGAGATAAGAAGGGAGGTAACATGATCAGACTTACATTTTCTAAAAGCTCATGCGCAACATGGAGAGCTGACGCTGAGGAGGAAGAGTAGATACAGAAGACCAGTCAGGAGACTAGAGTAGATACTGAAGTAAACCAGGCAAGATATGATGCTGTCTTAATCTAAAAAGGTAAAAGTGGAAATGTAGAGCAGTGGATGGATTTGAGATACATTTAGGAGCATAAAAATGACAGAACTTAAGAGATAACCTTAATATGGAAAGCAAGAGATATTTAGAAAATGACTCAGTTACCTGGCTTGTATTAGATGAACAGAGGATATAAAAAGAAGATCAAATTTGGTGGGAGGATAGGAGAAGATCAGCAATCATGGGGTCCGTTTGCGTATGTTAATTTTGGGAGACTTTTGAGATATGTAGATGGCAGTTTGAGTTCAGAGCCCAGACCAGTCTGGGTTAGTGGAATACATTTCTGAGTTTATGGAAAAGAAATAGTAAATTTGGTAATTTTGGAAATTATCTGTGGGGAGAAAAGACCTAGGATGGAGCCTTGAGGAATTCCAACATTTAATGGATTAGTAGATGAGGAAGAACCTGCAGAGGTGGCTGAGAAAGAAGGACCCCCTGAGAAGGGAGGAAAACTGGGAGAATGCAATGCCACAGAATCCGAGAGAGGAGAAAGTTTTAAGAAGAGGAAAGTCAACAATACTGCTGGATAACACTGAGGGGTGAAGTCAGAAAAGACTGTTAAAAGTGTGTTGGACTTAATAACATGGCATTACTGACTCTAGAAAGTGCTGCTTCAGTGACAGGGGTGGCAGGGGGAAGGAGGATTGAACTGTAGGTCCATGGCGGCTATCAGAAACTCACTCACTATCCCAAAAAAGTTAAGAATTTTGTTTGAGAAAGCAAAACTTATACAGAATCTACCAAAAATAAATATAATGCTACCAGCTTTACTAATTATTTAAATGCTATAAAAATCCAACCCTAACCGGTTTGGCTCAGTGGATAGAGCATCAGCCTGCAGACTGAGAGGTCCCAGGTTTAATTCCGGTCAAGGGCATGTACCTTGGTTTCGGGCACATCCCCAGTAGGGGGTGTGCAGGAGGCAGCTGATCGATGTGTCTCATTGATGTTTCTAACTCTCTATCCCTCTCCCTTCCTCTCTGTAAAAAACCAATAAAATATTTAAAAAAAATAATAAATGCTATAAAAATTCAGAAAAAGAAGGCTCAAGGTGACTGGGCTTTAGAGAAAGAAAATCTTCAGCAGATTATAAATGAAATCAATGAAAAGGGCTCAATCTAGGGAATTGTACAAGAAGAATAAAGGGTGTGCGTGTGTGCTTGGGGGGTGGACGGTGGGAGTGGGATGTGATGGAGTGATAAAAAAGCCAAGAGATGTAGACTTAATATCAAGTTATTTAGAATTGAAAAATCTTTGCCCTATGTTTATGTTTTGCTGCCAATCTGTTGGCCAATTCATTTCTCAAAATCAATTATATCAGAGGATTGATAGGGAAAAGAAAAATAATAATCATAAATCAATTGGGCTGCTCACTGAATTTGGATAATGCATCATGAAAGGTGGGGATAAATAAAATCACTGGTTAACATGTAACTCGATGCTTGTGATTCTGAGGCAGTGAGACAGAGTAGAGAAGAACATTGACCTCAGAGTGAGACAATCAAGTCTGAATGCCAACTCTATCACTTACTGTCTTAGTAGTTTGGGGAAATGCAATCAATGTCTTTGCACCCCAGTTTTTATCTCTGAAAAGGAAGAAAAAACTCCCAGTTTAGAGATAAATGGGAGGTTTGTTTCATTACTTAGAGATGAGATGGTCCTGCTTGCTTCAGAGGAATCTCCTAATTGGTGGCTACTTATTGTTTTACTAGTAGTAATACTGTAAGAGAAAACAGAAAATACATTCAAATAGACAACCTTGTAAACCCCAAGATGGGGACATTTTATTTACTGGTGGGCCCTAATCTACATTTTTTCTAAAGACAAGTGAAAAGCACCAAGTTTTTGGACCCTTTTTGAGATAAACATAATATATTTGTATCATAGACTTTTACAGTTAATGATATTGAATATGTAACTATTCAATAAATATATTCTTATTTTATATATTGACTAGAGACCCACTGCACGAAGATTCATGCAATAGGCCTTCCTTCCCCTAGCTGCCGGCACCGGTTTTCCTCTGGCATCCGGGACCCTCGCCTTCTCTGCTCTGGCCACAGTGGAGAAGCCAAGCCTCTTCAGTCTTCGCTCTGTGCCTGTGTATGCAAATTAACCCATCATATTCACTCCTGATTGGCTGGTGGGTGTCATGGAGGTATAGTCAACTTGCATATTTCTCTTTTATTAGTGTAGATAATTTTGTAAAGGAGCAAAGAAGAGACCCTTCCCCAAAGTAAACCAGAAGAATAAAAAACACAACTAAAGTTAAGGATGAAAAAAGACAGGATGACAAAGGTTACAGAAAACAGAGAAACAGACGAGACAGAATAGTCACCCAGACCTCCTGGGTCCCCCAGAACCCCTCACTGTTTCTATCAGGCAGTCTCCTGCTCTGCCAGCTGCCTCTTCCTTTGCCACTGCAATGGCCTTTCGCCCAGCATACTCCCCACCTCTATAATCTTCTATCCAGCACTTAACCTGACAGTGGACCTGGCATTGCTATGCAGTGCTCTAGGCTATTTCCTCTTAGTTATTTAAAAAACAAAACACACCTACATGTGCATCTGCCATGTAAGGACACCTCTGTCATAGAAATGAGGGAGTACATTTATAGAAAATTGGGATCTTCTCTGTGAATACTTTTTTAAAGATGCCTTTGAGAAACTTAATTAAAGAAAATATGCCAAAGGATAAATAAAATTAAGCCAAAAGGAAAACCCAGGCTCTGAGATGACTAATCCAATTTGTTTGGTCATTCCTTACTGTGTGCTGAGGCCCATCTTCATTGTCTCTCATGTAGAAAGGCTTCAGTGATAATGGATAATTAATGACAAAGACTGGTATGTTGCCACAGTGCTCCACCAGGTATTTTTCATGTTCAGTATACAGATCAACACCCCACTGCAATGAGAAAAAAAAAAAAAATGACCAAAGGAGAAGACAGAGCTGAAATACACAATGCAGGACCCTGTAAATAACCTGTATCAGTTCTCTCCCTGAGGATCAGCGATGTGTGGAGCTGTCTGCTGAGGTTACACAGATAACTAGAGAGGTATGTGCTAGCAAGAACATCCACAGGCCTGGAAAGATGAAAGCTGAAACGAGTAGATAAATACCATGCTCTCTGCCCCAGTCTGAGGGAGCAGCATTTAGCAGATGAATAGCATCTGCAGGGAGAAAAAAGTGCGCTTTCCACAGTGTATAAAAACTGACCCAGGATCACAGTTTTATTAATACTGCCTAGAATGCCTTCTACAGTTATGGTCCTAATCTCAGGAAATTAAATGATGAAAGATAAATATTTCTAATATTGAGTCCATCTTTGGCTAGATGGCTTCTCTCAGTGAAATTTTTTAAACTAAAAGAGTCAACTGATATATCAGATGCTACTTGATGAATATTTAATAACACGTTTCTTCTATTTATTCAGCAAATATTAATGTGCCTGTTAAATCTCAGGTCCTATGCTAGGTATTGGCTATAGTAAGAAAAATAAGACCCTAAATTTCATAAAGCTTACAGAGTAAGAGACAAACACTAAATACAAAATTATGCAAAGAAATTAATTGATTATAAATATAACTATTATAGCTTATAAGAGGATCTGACTTAACTGGGGTTGGGACTGGTATAAGGAATAGTTGAAGACAAAGGTATTACTGTACATTCTGAACATTATCTTATTACTCCCACATGTCTGGCAATACCTTAATTATAGGGAAGAAGTACTGGCATAGGAGTGAGAAGCCTTGCCTCTAACATTACGTGCATGCTCACCGAAGAGTCATGTAGCCTCTCTGTACCTATACCTTTGCCAATAAAATAAAGGCATTCTTAAAAAAACAACTCAAAACAATTCAGTGTTTCCCAAAGTGGATCACAGATGGGAAAACTCTATAAAGTTCAAAAGGAAAAGAAATTTGTTTTATTTGTTGCTTAAACTTACTTGATTATTTAACCTCTTTTGTTTGATACCTGTTAATATCCTTTAGAATTTACTTTGGGAAACACTGAACTAGTTGATTTCTATATTAATAGTCTGTAGTTGCCATTCTTTTAAAGGATTTTTATCTTCCTAAACTTGGGAAACTTCTGTATAACCCTTTAGTTACTGCTATTACAAATGATACAATTCTATTGTACTTCAAAATTATCGTTCATTATAAATATTTAAACAAGGCTGAGCAAATATAAAAAAAAGCTAATGTATAGAGGAGCAAATCTTGCACCCTGCCAATAAGAGAAATAAGACTATTTTAAATAATCTATATAATAAAAGCATAATTGCTAATTAGACTGGACAGCCGAACGACCTTTTGGACATCATTTCGGATGTCCTTCCAGACAAAGCTGCAGTGGTGGGGGCTGAGGCAGAGGTAGATAGGGGTGAACAGGCAGGCAGGCAAGCAAGCAGTTAGGGGCAATCAGGCAGGCAGGCAGGCAGGCAGACAAAGAGATTAGGGGTGATCAGGCAGGCAGGCAAGTGGTTAGGAGCCAGCCGTCCCAGATTGTGAGAGTGATGTCAGACTGCCAGTTTACATCCTCCGAGGAGTCCTGAATTGGGAGAGGATGCAGGCCGGGCTGAGAGACACCCTAGTCCCCCCCCTCCCCCCCACTCCCTCACTCCCTCACCCCTCCGCTGCCTGTGCACAAATTTTGTGCACCGGGCCTCTAAGTAATAAGGTAAGGATGAGGAAAAACATTTTGATATACACACACACTCAAACACAAATACTACCTCTGGGGTGAAGGTGAAGTTCTGGGACGCCTGTTTTAAGATCTCCATGGCTTCCGTATAAGAAATGCTGGAGAGAAACAGAAAAGCAGAGGCCATTGTTAACTGATCCACCTGAAAACAATAGGCTATTATTAACTAGTCCACCTGAAAACAAGAAAAGGTCTATTTTCATAGTCTTTGCGATTATATGAGTATTAAATGATTACAAAGTAATCAGGAAGTAAGGTTTACCTAATCCTATGGGTCTCCTATAAACATGAAGAGAATGACCATCCAATAACCCCAGTCCTGACCTACTTTCAGTGCACACAGAGTAGATAGTCACTAAGCAAGTAAAGATTTTCTCTGAATTCATGCTATGCCAATGCCGTACTGAACGGTATGAAATACAGAGGCTGAATGAGCAAAAATATTTTCCTAGAACCGTCATTCATTCATTCACCCAACAAACATTGAGCACCTACTCTGTGCAAGGGGTTACTAGACACTGGATATACAGTAACTAAAAATGAAGCTCCTGCCTTTATGGAGATATTCATGTATGGTTTGTGTGTGTGACAAAGAGCGAGAGATAGAGATAGATAGATAGATATATTGGGGGTATAGGTGGGGAGTGGGGAGAAAGATAAACAAATAAACAGAAATAGTATGATGCTAGGGATCTATTGGTGCTATGAAGAAAAATAAAGCTAGGTAAGTAGACAAAGGATGTTTGAAGATGCTATTTTAGAAAAGATGGTGAAGAAAGACTTCTCTGAGTTGGCGACATCTTAACAGAAACCTGCCCGAAGAAAAGAACCATATAAACATCTGGGGGAAGTATTCCAGGCAAAAGGAACAGTGGGTACACAGGTCTGAGTGAGGCCTGAGTCTGGCTCATTCAAAGAAGGGAAAGGTCAATGTGACCTAGTATTGAACAAGGGGAAGAATGCCAGGAAATTAGATCGGAGAGGTAGTCACAGGTCAGGTCCTATGAACTTTTTCAGGCCATGGTAAGTCCTCTTTAATATATTCTAAGCATTGTGTAAGACTGGTTTAAGAAAAGTATCAGTAAGAAACCTCATGCCTAAAGCAAGCCAAGCCAAAAATTCATTTGAATGATTTGAACAGGTAATATATGCATATAGTGTTTTTATTTTATTTTATTTTTAAAAAATCATTATGTTTCTCTGACTGGCTTATTCATTTAGAATAATGTTCTCCAGTTCTACCCATGCTGTTGCAAATGGTAAGAATTCATTTTTTTTTTTTTTTTACTGCAGTGTAGTATTTCAGACGAGATCGGGCACGTTCAGGGTGGTATGGCCATAGACTGCAGTGTAGTATTTCATTGTGTAGATTTACCACAGTTTTTTAATCTACTCATTTGCTGATGGGCACTGAGGCTGTTTCCAAATCTTAGCTATGGTGAATTGTACTGCTATGAACATAGGGGTGCATATATCCAATGGGATAATAAGGACATATATGTAATACCTTAATCAGTAAAGAAATTATAAAATAAAGAAATCATTATGTATGAAAGAGTATACATCTTTCTATCCTGCCCCATAGCAACCTAATTTGTTCCTCTCCTTACACAATCACTGTTAATGGTTTTGGGTAACCTTTCAGCAGGGTTTTTCCCCCAGAGGATTTTTTACATCTGTAAGCAAATATCCTAGATATATAACAAAAGCCTAAATGCTAAGTGTCCGGTCATCCAGTCAGCTGTTCAACCAAAGTATAATATGCTAATGACATGCTAAGGCTCCTCAACCGCTTGCTATGATGTGCACTGACCACCAGGAGGCAGATGCTCCGACCAGTAGGTTAGCTTGCTGCTGAGGTCTGGCTGATTGGGACTAAGAAAGACGAGCCAGACATGCCATGGAGCCTTGCCATGTCCCTCCCTGGCTGACCAATCTCCTGTGTCCCTCCCAAGCCCCGATCGTGTATTGGGGGTGGTTTCTCGGGCTGGCCTTTGCCTCTCACAATCCAGGACTCCTCAGGGGATGTTGGGATCTGGTTTTGGCCCGATCCTGCAGGCCAGGCTGAGGCACCCCACTGGTGCATGAATTCATGCACCAGGCCTCTAGTTAATATATAATCTCCCTATAAAAAATATATGGCAGCCATCACATACATACCATACACTCTTACAACGTTATTTATGCAAAAATATATACCATACAGATCTTTCCATATCAGCGTATGAAAAGCGTCTTCATTTTTTGAGCTATTATGTAATATTCTATTTTGTGGATGTATCCTAATTAGTTTTAGCCAGTCATCTTTTGGTGGGTATATATTTCAGCTATTTCCAATTTCGCTACTTTGAATAATTACTACATATATCTATTTTATGCTACAAATGACTCTCATATACTAATTTTGCAAATAAAAAAATGAAATTATTGGTGTGTTGGCATTTGCAATTTTGCATATTTTGAAAGATATTGCCAAAGATATTGTTGCCCTTTTACAGGGTTACAACAATTATGTTCACTAATATATAAAAATGTCAGTTTCCCTAGGTCTTCTGATCAGCATTTTGGATGATTAAAAACAAAAATCTATAAAGTTCCTCAAGAACTTTGAGCTCAAAAAATAACTTACCCAACACAAACTTATTCTCTGAAGCAGAAATGAAATTCATACTATCATAACTCATCAGAAAGTTGTGTCTTACAGTGCAAATAAAGCCCCCAAAGCTATGTTTTGAGAGATAGCTTTTTTCAAAGATGAAAATTCTATTCAAATTAAAAACTTAGTATTGAATAACAGGTAATTTCTAAGGTCAGAATGATGTTGGTGTTGGCAGTAGGAATAATTTTTAAACAAGCATCCTCTAGAGGGGAAACTGAAGCTTAGAAAAGATCAGTAAGTTGCTAAAAATGACTCATGTGACTACCCTGTTTCCCCAAAAATAAGACAGGGTCTTATATTAATTTTTGCTCCCAAAGATGCGCTAGGTCTTATTTTCAGGGGATGTCTTATTTTTCCATGAAGAAGAATACGGTACACATTTATTGTTAAATGAAAATAAAGGAAATTTATTACCTGTATACGGTATGGTAGCACAGTAGTTGTCAACACAAACCAGACAAACTGTGAATCCTACAGTATCAAGAATTTACTCATTTATTCAATGACAATCATGTCATCATCTTCTGGAACATCATCATAACAACCCAATTCCTGAGTTTCCTGGTGAATTTCTTGTGACTCCATTTCTTTCAGAATCAGTGGACCAAATCTCTCATGTTTAGCCCGGGGGGGGGGGCATAATTTTCGGGGGGGATGCCTTATATTTCACTCAGAAGGAAACCTGTAAGTAGGTCTTATTTTCAGAGGATGTCTTATTTTCGGGGAAACACGGTAGTAGTAAACTCTGGTGTGCTGAATAGAGTCTAAGCTCTAACTGCTAAGATAATGTCTAAATCACTCGGAGTCTCTTATGTTCAATAAAAACAAGAGATGTGGGTTTTCCCTCTGACTCTACTATCACCCACTAGTTATGTAAATCACCCCACCTTAATGGAAGCATTTTATACATTTTTTGTAATGTGGTATATAAACATTAAACATTTTAGTGTTTATACTTGTAAGCAAGGAGACTGGATTATATTACCTAAAGTTCTTTCCTCCTGCTCAGACATCCTGTTGTTCTATTATATCATTATCATGCTGAGAAATGTAAGAGCAATCAAAAAGGATGTTGTACCACTGCTGTTACTGCTCCATTTTTAAGAAAAATGATTCTCATGTCCAAATGTCTCTTACTTTTTCTGGACATGCTCCTTCCATACCTCAAGTTGAGGCAGAACTTTCAAGTTCAAATTACAGTTCTGATACTGAATATCCTTAATGACCCTCTTAACTTTCTCTACTAATTTTTCTTGATATGTACACAGGTTATTTCCTCTCCTTTCCAGGAACTTTCCAAAGTGCTTAGAGGAGAGGAAGAGAAGACATTGTGGAATTGCATGGGATAGTATCCAAACATCTTCTTTTGAATGTTTATTGTTGAATGAAGAAAACTATTTTAAAGCTGTAAAACTACCATGCTAAAGAGATCATCAATAGCATTCTCTGCCTCAAATTCACACACATAAATAAAGATAAGTAAAAAGGTAAGGATTCTATATTTAAAAACCTCCATACCATAAAGGAAATGTAAAATAACTGAATTCTATTTGTGCTTGATAAAGGCTAAATTCAACTACTACATAAATTCCTTAAATAATATATTTTTACATGAAACAATTATAACAAGTCATCAAGAATACACTGGCCAAAACTGGTTTGGCTTGGATAGAGCATCAGCTTGCGGATTGAAAGGTCCCAGATTTGATTCCGGTCAAGGGCATGTACCTTGGTTGCGGGCACATCCCCAGTGGGGTGTGTGCAAGAGGCAGCTGATGGATGATTCTCTTATCGATGTTTCTAACTCTCTATCCCTCTCTCTTCCTCTTTGTGAAAAATCAATAAAATATATTAAATAATAAAAAAAAGAATACACTGAAATCTAATGAAAAGATTACAGTCATACTAGAGACCTGATGCATGACATTCATGCACTCATTCCTTCCCCTGGCTGCCAGCACTGGCTTCCCTCTGACACCTGGGACCTGGGCTTCCCTCCAGTCCTGGCTTCATCCAGAAGGACATCTAGAATGATGTACAGTCTAATTAGCATATTACCTTTTTTTTTTTTTTTTTTAAATCATTATAGAACATAGTATCTTGTGTGTGTGTATTTCAGAAAGTATCTCAATTCTAATTACCGTATTTTTCGGACCATAAGACGCACTTTTTCCCCCCCAGAAGTGGGGGGAATAAGTCCCTGTGTCTTATGGTCCAAATATAGCCTACACATATACTTTAAAAAAAAAGTTTTTTTACTTGCCTGGCTCTGTGTGGTCTCTGTGTGCTTGCCCGGCTCTAAAATGGTTCTAAATGCTGCTGTTTACTTTACAGGGTTGATTACATGTGTTTATGACTGTGATGTTGGGTTTTAATGCACATAAAATATTTTAGGACACTATTTGTTTCAGAATCTTTTTTTCTTCATTTCCCTTCTCT